CTTTCTTCATTTGGATTTGTAGAAATCTTCTAAAATTTACAAGTCCCAAAACGAATTCCTGATTCACCCTCCCAAACCTGCTTCTCTCTAGTCTTTTCCAAGTTAGCGACTTACTCCATCTTCCTAACTGTTAAGGCCAAAAACTTTGGAATCACTCCTAAATCCCTTTTCTCTAACCTCATAGCCAATATCTCAGTAAATGCTGTTACTTCCATATGCAAAATATATATAGGATATGATTACTTTTCACCACCCAACAGCTACAACCACCACGATCTCACTTGAATAACTGGAACAGTCTCTTGGCTTGTCTCCTCCTTTAGTGCTTTCCAGAACACTCTCAAAACAGCAGCCATTATTATCTTTTAAAAATGTAAACCACACCATGACTTCTCTCTCCTCAAACATTCTATAATGGCCTTGCTTATAATTAAAAGCCGAAATCTTTTAAATGTCTTTTAAAGCCCTGGTCCGCCCTGACCTCATCAATACTCTCCTCTCCTAGCTCACAATGTATTGGCCAAACTGTTCTCTTTGCTGTTCCTTGAATTGCTAAGGACACTAGATCATAGCCGTTCATTGCCATTTCCTCTCCTTAGAATGTTCTCCTCCCAGATATCTGCATGACTCCTTCAAGTCTATCTACTCAGTGAGGCCTTTCCTATTGTGATATCCCATTTTTGGTTGTCTCAATCCCCTTTCTCAGCTTAATTTTTCTCCATAGCATCTACCACTATTTGATATATTACCTATTTAATTAACTGCAAGAAAACTGCATATAATGTACATGTAGTAAAATGCACAAATCTTAAAGGCACAATTAAAAATTTTACATACATGCACATACATACGTATATACACTTCTGTGTAACCAAAAATAGACATATACATTTTCAAAATTCCACAAGGCTCCCTCATGAGTCTCTCTGACAATAACATCCCTTCGAAGCTGACTGCTATTCTGACTTTTATTAGTATAGACTAGTATTTTGCCTGTTATTAAACTTTACTTCCATGGAATCACACACTATTTACTCTAATGTGCTCTATTATTTGTTTGTAGTGTCTTGCCCACCAGAATGCAAGCTTCATAAGAGTTTGGGTTTTATCTACTTTGCTCATTACTATATCCACAGTGTCTATAAACAGGATTTAGGACATAGAAGGTACTCAATAAATATTCACTGAATAAATAATCAAAATAGCATCAATAAACATTCCTTTTCTCGAAACTTTGAAGGGCAAAAGTTTACAGTAGAATTATCTTTGTCATTGTTATAAATAAGGAAATAGGATATTCACAATTAAGCCTAAAACTTGGGTAGATTTGTTTTAAGGTTAATTTAGAGCATCCCATACCTAACTAAAAACCTAAAGCCAAGTCTTCTCTCATTACATTTACATTTTAAAAACTAGAAATCAGTTTCTTAGGTAAACACATAATTTACATTATACTAACCTTCTTATAAAACAGAGATTGAATCTGAGGATCTCTGGCACAGATATATTATAGCTCTATTACGTTTTCTTATTTTATTCTCAAAGTTTAACATATATTGATGGATTTTCTAGTATAGATGATAGGTGTTTAATGAGCCCTCGAACCAGACACTTTAATTAGGCCAGCAATTACTCCTGATAGTGCTTTTTTCCATTTTAAGAGGTCAGGAATTCTTTACAAAAATTTAAATTTAGTTCACACATGCTCTTTGATATTAATATGTTCAAATTGTTACATATTTTCAAGATCACTTTGGTATCCATTATATCAGAAACATTCCTAACCACAAATTTAGGAGTAACTAATTGTTATTGTTTCTAGGTGAGTGAGAAAGCACAGAGAGTGTTGGGTAGAAATGATAGTGTTTGTACCTATGGCTTATTCAAAAGTATATTTCTTAATTTCCAAACATTTGGAAAATTTTTAAAGCCATTTTTTTGTCATTGTTTTTTGCTTAACTGCACGGTGTTCAGAAATTATATTGTTTGAAAACAATGGATACTCTGAAGTTGTTAGAGACAGTTATTCTACTATATTTTTCAAATCTTTATCTTGCTGCTTTTTAGACTGTTCTATCAGTGACTGAATAAAAGATATTAAAGATATTAGAGTGTGAGAAGATATTTGCAAATCACATATCCAAAAAAAAACGTGTATCTAGAATAAAGAGGTCTCAAAACACAAGAGTAAAAAATGAAACAACCAAATTAAATAATGGGCAATACACTTGCACAGACACATTCATCAAAGGAAATATGATGCTCAACATCAATTAGTCACTAGGGAGATACAAAGTAAAATCATGATGAGATAAAACACACTCATCAGAAAAGCTTAAAAAGAAACAATACAAAATGAACAGTAACATATACTAAACAGGATGTGAAACAACTAGAACTTGCAAATACTGCCAATGGGGATATTTTTAAATGGTTCAGTCACTCTAGAAAAAAGTTTGGCGACGTCATATAAAGGTAATATACACTTGCTATATGACCCAGCAATGCTACCCTGTGGTTTTTACCCTACAGAATCGAAACTTAAATTCACACAAAAACCTGTCAATAAATGTTTGTAGGAAGTCTATTAAAAAACAAAAAACAAAAAATGCTGGTAATAATCCAGATGTCCTTCAATGGGTGACTGGATAAACAAATGTGGTATATCTATACAATAAAATACTATTTAGCAAGTAACCATCTTTATTTTCTCAAATATGTTCTCTTGTGATTTCAGGTCTTCACTCATGCTGATGGCTCTGTAGTGAAAACCACTCTCTATGCTATTCTTATTCATTCTTCCGGCTTCAGTAAATTACTGTATCTAAGAAGGCTTTTCTACATTCTGCTCCCAGGTTGGATTACATATTCCTGCCACATGATCTCATAGCATTCTCTACTTTCCCCTTCATATCCTCATAGATTTAATTGTTAATACATGTTCCATTTTTTCTCCCCTGCTATCCTGTGAGCTCCATGAGGGCAGGGATAGCTGGTGTTTTGTTCAAAAAGCAATCCTTAGTGCCAATACTGTGCAAAGCACATAACAGAGCCACTACAATGAATGCACTAAGATTTATTTGTATTTTTCAGTTTGCTAAAAGTAACTTGGTTCTACTCTTATTTTTTCAACCTATATTCTAAAGCCAGAGAAAAAAACATCTTATCTTGCTTTTAAAAATAAAATGTTATCTCAAACACACTTTTTGCTTGTGATATGCAATTAAAACTTAAGTATTCTCTTTATGTATTCTTTCTCCTCCACTTTTTGTCCTTTGTGTTCATAATAATGCAAATATTCTTTCACATTCATGAACATTTGCACATTTTCTTATGCGCTCTGTAGCCACAAACAACAGAAACACCTTTCCTGGCTTTTTTCTTGTCTGTACAAAGTATGTTTCTGAATAACTTTGACCATTTAAAATTTAAAGTACTTTAACCTGGTATTCTACATTTATGACTTTTTAAGAAAGAGTTCTACAAACTTATATTTAAACAAAATCTTACCTTAATCAAATCAATAAATAACAAAATTATGCATGAAAATAGCCATGTCACTTAAATTGAAAAAGGAAAGTAGTTTCAACACTCTTTATATTTCACTGACAGCAGTGAAATTTAGCAGATAATCTAAATTACCTTTAGAAAACTGCTAAGAACTAAAATGACTGAATTTAGTGGTCTTTTAATAATCATAGTTTAGTTCACATATTTAAAGTTCCACTGGTTTTAAACTTTATTATAATAAAAAACAAAATTCAGCTGCACAAATACTGACTATGATATTACATTTTAGGGAATCATATTCAAAGGCAATAGCCCCTGAAAGAGAGGGAGGGTGAAGGGGCACATTTTAAAGAAAACAAAAAGTTAAAGAGCGTCTTACCTACACATTTTAAATGGCATCAAACAGATTTCCAAGTCACACTCAGAATTACCAGATAGAGTTATAAGAGGAAAGCAAGTCAATCAGTTTTTTAAAGAAGAGATTGACGTAAGCTTTGTGAAATTTAAGGGCTAGCATTCTTTTTCTAGAACATGGCCAGGTGAGGCCCTAAATAATAAAGCCATTTCATGGAGTAGAACTTTGAGTTTTTAAAACACAAAACACTGTTTGTCTGTGTAAGTCTGTAAATTAAAATAAATTCAAAATAACTAACTACCTAAGGAAAACTGAATCTCCCTTTCAGGCTGCTATCTTAAGGTACAGCAATTTGTCCCAAGAGAATATAAAACCTATCACTAACTCAACTGATGACTACCTTAACTGTGCTTTTCGCTGGTTATAGAGGATAGCTATACCCCAGGTACTTCTAAAGAAATATTGCCTCTTGATAAAGAAAGCATGAGAAGGAATCTAGGTGAAGAGACACACAAACGAAAGACAGCCACTCAAAAATACTCTTATGACAGAAGGATAACAGTCTTTTGGAAACAGCCAAGTTTGACACAATGAAAAATAAGTTACAGAGTGTTGTAAAGAAGCCAGTGATTACAAATTCCATCTTAATAAAGGGATTTAGGGAAAGGGGCAGCCAAAATATTAATATGCTTCATTTTGAGCCTTATAAACAGAAATTTTTAATGTCACTAAATGATTAAAATAAAGTAAGTGAAGTAATACAGGACTCAGTGAGGTAAAAGCAACTTTTTTAACAATTATCAAAAAAAGTTAAAAATACAAAAAACTACTTTTCCTATTACTCAATCTTTATTTTGTAAAATAATAATTCTAAAGCTACTGTCTCTTAAGATCTGCAAAAATTATCTTTATAACATAAAACACTACCTTGAAGAAAAATAACATAACAAATCTACTTCAACCATTTTCATCAGGTATTGATTGCAAAAATACTATATTCAGAGGAAATTTTCAGTGCAATTATGCAGAACTCACTAGTTATTACATTTGTTTTCTAACCTTATCAAGGCATTAAAAATTTTTTGATATTGAGAAATGGAGCCTAACCTAAGAATATAAAAGTTTCTCCACTTACCCTTGCATAGTGGAATTCAACTCCATAGAGTTCTAAGGTACGTGCTGTGTTCAGGTAATTAAATTCTGCTTCTGCAGGAGATAAGCCTCTGTAAAGACATCATTAGGTTAAAAATTAAGTCAATCATAAATATGGCCAAATTTGAAAAAAAGCTAATTATCTGGAAAAATTTCAGCATTCTAATTAAATCTTTTACAAAACTCCATGCATGACTATTCCTCTTAGTTCTGTACAGTAATAGCTAACTTATCTGAAGGGTACATTTTCAGTAACACAAATTATTACTTTGTAAAATATTGTCCAGAAATATAAGAATGCACAAAGTTTTAAAAGTTCCTACTTGTTCTTATGGCTGTTACAAAGTCACTTATTCTTAGACTTAACTTAAAAGAAGTGTTTTTCAAAACTTGGTCTATATATCATATCTGCATTTAAATCACACATAGTGCTTCTGAAACATGTAGATTCTAAGACAACCTCAGAGCAGTGCTTCTCAGAGAACAGTGAACAGACAGGTGTTGATTTATAACAAATACAGAAATCGAGTGTCATGAGTCTTTTATAGAACTTTGGCAGAGTAATTTTATATCTGTTGAATCTAACAATAAAAAAAGGGCTTATAATTTTTTATATGTTTATTTCTCCATTTTATTTTTCTAGTGATTAATTCTTATAATATTTTTAGAAGTATAGCTTTATATAATATTTTTAGAAGTATAATATTTTAGAAGTATAGTTCCTTGACAGACTAGGGGAAAACTGATCTTTCATCACAGATAGTTTCAGAAGTACTGTTCTATAGATAGTCTGATATAGAATGAATGGGGTCCAAACTGTTTATATTTAAAAATACCCCAGGTGATTCTTATAAGCATAAGTTTTAGAACTATAGCTTTAAATTCGAAGCCTTTAAAAAGTGATTTATTACTATATTATACACTGTTCTAACAACCTTAGTTATCTGATATTATCAGCTATAGCAGAGCAAAAGCAGCAAATTACAAAAGCAAAGATATAAACTTTTCATTCCCTAATGATATTAGAAAAGGGAGCTGAGAGCTTGCCAATGCATGATGATAAAAATGGGATTCCTCAAAAAACAGAGATATACTTCAGTTTACTATAAAATTCAATTAAGTTAAACACTCTACCTTACCCCCACCCCCAGTTAAACTAGATGATTCTATTTTTTCTGTTTAAAGATCTGAGAAATCATTTCTTTAAACCAAACATATATAACCAATATCTTGTCAAAAGTACAATCTTTTTAATTACAGAAGGGACTTTATTATTGGTAAATATTTAAAAAATCAGGCTTATCTTCAAACCTTTGATTCACATATGCTAGACATAGAACTTTTATTATAAATGGCATTTACTGTCAGACCAAAAGAGCCCCCCTTACCACATTAGTCCAGTCCATTAAAATTCTCTTTCATTAGTTTTATTTTAGATTAGAGGTCAGCAAATTTTTACTGGAAATAGTTGGATATTAAACACTTTAAGTTTTCAGGCCATATGGCTTCTGTCACAACTACTCAACTCTGCTGTTCTGTGAAAGCAACCATAGGCAACATATAGATGAAATGAGGTAATCTGTGTTTCAATAAGTGTTAATTTATGGACGCAGAAACGAAAATTTCTAAAATTTCACATGCCACAAAATGTTATTCTTTTTTATTTTTTTTCAATCATTTAAAATGTACAAACTACTTCTGGTGCAAGATGGCAGAACAGGTAAATGCTGTGCTCGCCACCTCTCACGACCACATCAAAATTACAACTAAACTACAGAACGACTATCATTGAGAACCACCTGCAATCTAGCAGAACAGAGGTTCTATAACTAAGGATATACAGAAGAAGTCATGTTGAGTCTCACAGGAGAGGCAGAGACTTGAAAAGGCTGGTCCCATACCCACCTGAAGCAGTTAAAAATAGGGAGGGCTATCCTGGCTGCAGAGGTCCTGCCTGAGGAACAAGGGGTCCCAGCCCAATGAGGCTTCTCAGCCCAGAGTTCCAGTGCCAAGATGTCCCCATAACTTCTAGCTGTGATAACTGGCAGAGATTGTGGCTGAATGAGACAGAGAGCAGCTGGAGTCCCAGATTTTCCTCTTATAAAGAGCCCGTGCATGGACTTACTCACTGACTAACTTGCTCTGAACTTCAGCTCTGGGGCAGCAGCTTGAAAGGCACCAGGGACATATGGGGAGGAAATAAATTATCTGCCTTCAAGGTTGGGGCTTGAGGGGCAGCCTTCTCCCAGACAGAATGATAGCAGAAGCCAATGTTCCTCTGTTGAACTCTCTCCCTACACAGCCTGCACGCATAGGCAAAGCCATATCTGAGGGTCCAACCTGGTTAGCACTGTTAGCTCTGTCCTGATGAATCCCTAAGACTCAGCCTCACCCAACTTGTGAGCACACCCAAGTCTCTTCCAGTGGCTTTTCCATACAAACTGCCTGTCTTGGCTCATGCTGTGGACTTTCTTAAATCTCTAAAAGGTTAAACAAAACCCAAACAAACAGCATCTGGCCTCAGAATGCCCTGTATCTCTTGCTAAGCAGCCCCAAGCCCAGCACTGATGGCAGCTGAATTCAGTTCATAGCTTAGCCTCTCCCAGGCACCTCCAAGCCCCATGTAAGTGGCAACTATCTAAAGATCATTTTGTCATTCATACCAGGTGGCCCCAGGCAGGGCACAGGCAGTGGCTGACCTTAGCGTGCAACAGAGCCCCTCTCAAGAAGCCCCTCTCAACACATCTGGTGGCCAGCTTCAAACCACATCAGAGCACCTCCAACTACCTCCACAAATGACACAGCCAAAGAGTGGACTCAGTAGGCACCAGAACCCGTAGGGTAAGCTTCTGCATAGCAGCTGTTCCACCATAGTGACAACCAGTCTTCACAACCAATCAGCCTGAAGGTCAATCCCTCTCACTGATGTGCCAACAGCAATCAAGACTCAACAACAGGAGGGCACACACAAACCACACAAGGGACACACCTGGAGTACCCTGCTCAGGTGACCAGGAAGATTGCGCCATGAAGCCCCACAGCACACCTACTACATAAGACCACTCTACCAAGACCAGGAGATATAGCAGCCTTACCTAATATGTAGAAACAAATACAAGGAGGCAGCCAAAATGAGGAGACAAAGAAACATATCGCAAATGAAAGAACTAAAGAAACAAACTCCAGAACAAAACTCCAGAAAAAGAACTAAACAAAATGGAGACAAGCAAGCAATCAGATTCAGAGTTCCAAACACTGTTTATAAGGATGCTTGATGATTTCGATGAGAACTCCAACAAGACAGGAAACATTAAAAAAAAAAAAAGGTAGAAAACATTCAAAAAAAGCCAGTCAGAAATGAAGACTATAACTAAAATAAAGAATTCATCAGAGAGAATCAATTGTAGATTAGATGAAGCAGAGCATCAAAGCAGCAATTTGGAAGATAAGGTAGCAGAAAACAATAAATCATGACAGCAATAAAAGTATTTTAAAAAATGAGGATAGTTTAATGGGCCTCTGGGACAACATCAAGTGTATCAACATTTACATCACAGGGACACCAGAAAGAGAAGACAGAGAGCAAGAAATTGAAATCTATTTCAAGAAATAATGACAGAAAATATCCCTAGCTTGATGAAGGAAAATAGATACACAAGTAAAGGAAGTGCAGAGTCTCAAAAAGATGAACCCGAAAAGGCCAACACCAAGACACATCATAATGACAGAGAGAGTATCTTAAATGCAGCAAGAGAAAAGCAGTAAGTTATCTACAAGGGAGCTCCCATAAGACTGTCAGCTGATTTCTTAACAGAAACTTTGCAGGCCAGAAGGACTGGCATGAAATATTCAAAGTGATGAAAAGCAAGGACCTACAACCAAGAATACCTAGGAAGGCTATCAATTAAAATCGAAGAGGAGATAAAGAGCTTCCCAGGAAAAAACAAAACAAAACATAAAACACAAAACAAAACCTAAAGGAGTTCATCAATAGCAAATCAATATTACAAGAAGAAGTGTTAAAAGAAGATCAAAAACATAAATAATAAAATGGCAATAACTACTTATATATCAACAATTACTTTAACTGTAAATAGACTAAATACGCCAATCAAAAGACACAGGGTGGCTTAATGGATAAGACAAGACAAGACCCATACATATGCTGTCTACAAGAGACCCGCTTGAGATCAAAAGACACACACAAACTGAAAGTAAAAGTATGAAAAAGATATGTCATGAAAATGGAAACAAAAACCAACCAAACAAAAAAGCTTGGGTAGCAATACTTACACCAGACAAAATAGACTTTAGGAAGAAACCTGTGTCCACCAATAGATGGATAAAGAAGTGGTAAATATATACAATGGAATATTACTCAGCTTAAAAAAGAATGAAATCTTGCCATCTGCAAAGACATGGATGGACCTAGAGGGTATTATGCTAAGTGAAATAAGTTAGATAAAGAAAAATACCATATGATTTCACTTAAATGTAGCATCTGAAAAATAAACGAACAAACAAAACTGAAACAAACTCGTAAATACAGACAGCATTTTGACGGTTGCCAGAGGTGGATTGGGGGATGGTGAAAAAGGAGAAGGGATTAAGAAGTACAAATTATACACAATGCAATAAATATACATATATGTATTTACAAATACATATATATATATATATGCCTTACTGCTAAATTGTACACATGAAACTTACTGGATTTTGTTAACCAATGTCACCATAATAAAATAAATAAATAAAAATAAAAGAAGAAGTACAAATTGGTAGTTACAAAATAGTCATGGGAATATAAAGTATAGCGTAGGGAATACAGTCAATAATATTATAATAACTATGTATGGTGTCAGAATCATTGGGGTGACCATTTCATAAGGTATACAAATGTCTAAGCACTATGTTGTATACCTGAAACTTATATAACATTGTATGTCAACTGTAATTGAAAAATAAAAGATTATTTTAAAAAATAAATAAAATACACAAATCATTCTTAGCCCATAGGCCATACAAAAATAGGTAGTGGGCTGTAGTTTGCCAACCTCTTTCAGATACATGGGCCATTACCAAATGAAAGTAAGTTTCCTTAATAATAAGAGTTAATATTTCTTCAGTGCTTAGCATGTTCTAGGCACTGTTCTGAAAACTTTATATATATATAAAGTACAATTAAGTGAGTTTATACAGATAAACTCCTTATAACCCCAGAGGTAGATACTTTTATTATCATCTTTTTACATATAAGGAAACAGAGAAGAACAGACATGGAACGATTTGGCCAAGGTTATAAGACAGTACGTAACCTTACCAGAATTTCAATCCAGGAGGTCTGGCTCTGGAGTTCAGACTCTTAGCCAAAATGCAACACTGCCTTAGATCCTCTATGAGTATTCTTAATTATATGTTAAAGCAAAACTAAACTCTGGACTCTATTCAAAATAACAGACTTCTTCTTAAAAAAAAAATTATGTCACAAAAATTTGAACTCATAAAATATCAAAGCTGAATATTGTTATGCTATTTTTAAAGGACTAATCTTTATTAATTTAGTATTACATAAAGCTCCTCTTCTCCCCCTGGCTCATTATCAAACAAAAATAATTCCTTTCATATAGCTAAAACCCGAAAGAATTGCTAAGTAGATTGTGAACATACTATTAATATTCTAAAATTTCTAGCAACTTTATATAATAAAAACTTTATATAGTTAAAAAAACTTAAAAAAAAAAACCAAAATTTTATGTATATATTCCTGGCAACTTTATATAATAAAAGGAAAACTCTGTGTGTGTGTGTGTGTGTGTGTACAGATTACATATATAAGAATTTATATAATAAAAACTATAATAAAAATTGGCAACTTTATATAACAGCAAGTAAATTTCTGTTTACATATAGCTTTATGGTCCTTAATAGAAATGAAAAACAAATATATGAAATAAGTAATGATTTTTCTTTTAGTACAGATCATCTACATTTCTTTATATTAATCATGCTATTTTACATAATAGTAACTGTTTATATTAAGTAAACACAACAATCACATTAGAAATAATTGAAAACATTTCTCTAGAAAAGGTGTCATTAAGAAGTTTACTAAATAGGCAGAAAAGCAAATAAATCCTTACATATGTTGCTGATGTAATTTTGCAATTTCTTTTTCAAAATCTTGAGGTTGATTAGGAATGAAAGAATAATCTGAGAGGTAGCCTGGCAAGTTTTCTGACTGATTGTAGTCTCCAAGTTCAGCTAATAAATGGAAGAAAAATATTCACATTTTAATAAACACTTTTTTTTTTTCCAATTTCTATGGTCAAAATAGCAATGTCATAAATTCTATTATATTTCTGAAAGTAAATTATTTATGTATCTGTTACCATTTAAGCAAGTTATCACAATATATTTAACATTCTTCTAGGTTTCAAACAACTTCAGAATTTTTTCTTTTAGGAATCAAAGTAATTGCTAACTAATTGGATGTTTCATTACACTTCCTCTATAGTCACATTCTTTTGTATAGTGACATATGTCTAAAGAACTCATTAAAAGCAATGTATTATCAATACAGACCATGCAATTACATGCCATTTGATTCAAATATGGGCTGATACTTACACTGAACAGCAAATGAAGCCAAAAGGGCAGCAGTATTATAAGGACAGGGCAATCTGTTAAAACAAAAGGAAAATAAATTATACAAGGTTAAACACAATAATTTCAAAAGCACTATAATTTATGTTATACTATCCACACTTGAAATTTCCATGTGACTTATACTTTAATTATTAAGTAATGAACTTATCTGACAAAAGGAATTCATGCTATAAGTAACCATTTTTCAATAGATAATGTTTGCAATGATCATGAATTACTTCAATACAGAGTTAAGAGTATTTTTCGACCCATTACTAAAAATATAAAATAGCCCACCTTCCAGTAAGAATGTCTTGTTTAATTTGCAAAAAATACTGGTACCTTAAAAAAAAAAAGATAGTTAGCATTTACTTGAATTATAACATTTACAGTTTAAAAACTATATGCTTACATTAACTAAAAAAATTAAAATACTTAAGTATTTGTTTACCATACATGTTAGCACATGAAAACATATTTTAAAATAAGCTTTCATAAATTCAAGAATCCAAGTCTTTAAATTTCTTTGATAAAATTCTGTACTGCAAATATTTTATTTCCACTAAATAAAAACAAACATTTTGTTTTTAAGAGTTACATGACTAAGGGCAAAATTTAAGGAGAAATACTCTAAAGATTGGCATATGCAGAAGGCAGAACTGGAAAGCACAGCAAACTTGAGTCACACACACAGGAAAGCTGAAAGTAGCAAAGGACTAGAGACCAGTTGAAGAAAATCATTCTTTCTGCTGAGATAGAAAGCCAGCTAGCTGCAAGGATAGGTCCCTGTGTTTATCTTATCATTAGGAAGCAAGAAGCTGCTAACTGTAAAAAAGCACCTTTCTTCTTCAATTAAGAAAGCTCTCTTTGATCAGGGAAAAAAAGTTCCTTTTCTCATTATTCCTCTACTATTAGAATTGCCAAGTACCCAATTTCCTTTAAAACTAACAAGAATATTAGCATCCTATAACAAGAATGCTGGGGTTGCTTACAAGATGGCATTGTCCTTCCATCCCTGCTAGTGGGTAAAGTCACTTTCTCATAGATGTATCAATGCTTGAGCAAAGCCACCTGTGCTGTGTAATGTTGGCAGAAGACCAAATTTTGTGGCTTTAAAGGTTTAAACAGAGAATTTACAGATTTTTATTTCACCTTGCTAAAAAAAGTATACATATTCTAAGCATCAAAAATCATTTAAAATTTTAGTTGTTTGGTTGATTAAAGTCATTAAAGAGCTCCATGACAATTCAAATTACCAAAGAATTTAATTAACATCTTCAGAGAATGAGATATTCATTAGAAAATTAAAAAACAAAAAACAAAAAACTGATACAAATATCCTGGCTTCATATATTAATGAAGTACATAACTTCTCTGGGAGGCTTAATATATAATATTATTAATATTATTTACTTTATCAATCCAAAACAACATATTTCTACCCAGCCTATTTGGTTTCGTAATTAAAAGTTCCTGGTGGGAAACAATCTTATAGTTAAGATTGACAGGTCATGTATATCATTGATAAAATATGTAAATCCTACATAAATAATATCTATGCTTGTTAAATTTTATTTACATACCAATCACTAAGGATTGATAGAGTGGAAACCATAATAAGCCAAACCTAAGCTTATTAGTTATAAGCTAACTAAACCTGTGATCTTTGGGAAATTACTTAAAATTTGGCTGAGCCTTAGTTTCTACATTTGTTTAAAAAAAAAAAAAGAAAGTAGTATCACTTGCCTAGTATATGTATCCCAGGGGATTTAAATAGAAAGATAAAGCCTAATTTTTAAAAATAAGACCTTTAAAATAGATTAGTAATGACTGAGGTAAATATAGAAATGATCTATTTAAGCTGCAAAAATAATATAACTTTTCTAATCCAGGCAATAACTAATACCATGATCTAAATACCATTGTGTACTGTGTACACCTAGGCACTCAAAAAGGTATGAAAGTAATGTCATTTGTATTCTCTTGACTCCTGAGAAAGCTTCAGTTCTAATGATGCCAGCATCTGCTAATACTAAATGATATTTAATCTAATGGAAGCACTATACATCTATTCTTTTTTACCATTAACATAAAATAGTATCTCAAGGTAAGGAGATGCAGTCGATTTCCTGTTTTGTGGGATTTAAACTAGTCCTTAAAATTAAGCAATTGTGGCTAAGGGTGTCTTATTACCCAACAGGACAATTGCATTAAGGCTACTTAAGCACTAAAGTTTTAAAAGAGTGCTTCCTAAACGTGGTGGAATATTAGAATCACCTGAGAAGCCTGTACTGTCTCTGCATAGGTCCCTACCCGAAACTTATTAAATCAGAGTATCTAGAGGTGTGGTCAAGGCACAAGCTCCCCTAAGTGATTCTAATTGGTAATCAGGGTAGAGAATCATTAATGCACACTATGATAATAAAAAAAACTAGCCACTTACTTCATTTTACCAAATAGTACCAGTTACAAGATTACAGGATATTCCATTGTAAAGGATTTTTGAAATAATGCATTATTTCTAGTGAAAACAAATACTTTTCTAGACTGATAGACTGAACACATTAATTCCTCAATTATCAAACTTGACTTTACTTCCTTCTATATCAGGAAGATATTTTGACTTAATTATTAGTGAGACAGTTATTCCTTGATTATGCTTTTAATATAGGCTATAAAAGAATAAACACATTCAAGCTCCATTAAGAAATTCAAGGAGTTTTTTGAGTGAAGTAAATTATGAATATGGCTATAATTGGCTAGGTTTTATTTGTTTATGCTAACAAACTTTTCGTAAACATGAAATACATTAGAAATCCAATTTAAAATTACTGATCTTTTAATTATAAATATTTCTTATATATTTAAAAATCTGATTACTAAAACATATATTACAGAATACTTTGTTACTTGATTTCAAGTTATATGTACCAGGAAATAATAAAATGCATTTAAAAATACTTTATAATTCACAATTTTCATTAATTCAGAGTAGTTTCCTTGAAGTTCATCCAAAATTACTTTAAGTAATTTTTACTATACTAAGAATCTTGTTATTTTAATTAACAACAACAAAACCTAAGAGCTGCAAGATTAAACTAAAGGGTATTTATATAATACAACTTTGCTATTCAAGATAAATTAGCTGGGATACCATTAATTTTTTTTTTTAATTTATTTAGTTTCAAGTATACAGTACATTGGTTAGACATCTATATAGTTAGTAAAATGATCCCAATTGTTCCCTCCCTCTCTTGACCTCAGCTCCACCTAGCCAATGTATTGTTAATTGCATTCCCTATGTTATGCTCCCCATCCCTATGACCATCCATCAGCTACTAATTTGTACTTCTTTAACCCTTCACCCCATTCTCCTAGACCCCCATTCCCCTCTCCCCTCTGTCCACCACCAAATTGTCCATTATATTTGTGAATCTGTTTTTGATTAGTTTGTTCTTTTTATTCCTTAGATTCCTCCAACATTTCCTGTAATACTGGCTTGGTGGTAATAAATTCCTTCAGCTTATTTTTGTCTGGGAAGCTCTTTATGTTCCCTTCAACTCTAAATAATAGCTTTACTGGATAAATTATTCTTGGTTGTAGATCCTGGGTCTTCATCCTGTTGAATATTTTTTGCCAAGCCTTTCTGTCCTGCATAGTTTCTTTTGAGAAATCAGCTGCCAGTCTTATG